ATAATTATTATTAAAAAAATTCTAAAAATAATAATAATAATCAAAACTTGCTGCTGTGGAAGAAATGTAAAAAAGTGTGTCCGTCATTTAGGAACAGAAACTAAAAACTAGCTCAGTCATGAAGGGGTTAATGACCATTGTCATTACCCCAGGTGAGCATCCATCTGTTTACTGCTATTCATCAGGTGTGGATTGAATCATCTTTCTGGTGTGCGGTCTGCACAATATTTCTGATAGAAGATCACTCTTCAGGTGCCCATACACTGCACGATTCTCGTACGAGAATCGCGGGAAATCCCGTGATCGTACGACACTTGTTATCACTAGATTTAGAAGTTAACTGCTTCATTAAGACTGCACTTTGATTTATACTAGACATGTGCGATTCGTTTCATTCCGAATCGAAATTCGGACGAAATTTTCAGAAATTCGGATGTATCCGAATTACAGACATAATGAATGCAAACGAATCCGAATTTCCGATTGGTTTTTTTCGGACGTACTTTCGTTGCAGCAAAGTGACATTTGAGAACAAAAAAACTTTTTTTCCCTCTTAAATGTCACTTTGCTGCAACGAACGAACGAAACCGAATTGAGAACGAAACTTCGTACGGATTCCGCTAACGAATTTCGTCTGAATCCGAAACGAATTGACTTTCGGACCCGAATTCCGAAAAACAAAATAATGCAAAAATATTGCAAAATCCGAATCGAAACGAAACAAAACAAATTTTTTGCTGGTGCAAATGTCTAATTTATACCCACATTGGATTTGTCATCACAATGATTGAGTTACATCATATTTGCTTTTCTTTCTTTGCTTTTTCTTCAACATTTTTGCATGATTTGCATTTATACAGAGTTTGATATGTTCCAATATTATTCTTGTCAATGACGAACTGTCACATTGTTCCTTTCACCATTTATGATTTTTTCACTATCTTTAGAGCTCGGCACATGATAGTATATATTTTTTTGATCATTAATTTCTTTGTTTAGTGCTTAGTAGCTGGTAATTTCACTTTACTGGTGCAGATCATATTGATTATCACTAAAGCACAAGCATTAGCACAATGCAAATAATTGAACCCAGCCTAAGGTAGCATCCTATAGTGATCCTTCACAAGCTTCTCTTAGCATGAAAGGAAATGCATACAGGAAGGACAGAAGGTGGTAAGAGTTTTGCATTTCTTTTAAAATGTATTTTACTGAGAAGACCACATGGAGAGTTTGTTAGGTGTAGGTACAGTGAATTAGTAGTTTGGCTGCCAGCTGCTGTGTGCATAAGCTGAAGTTATTTGAGACAAGCAAGGAACTGGTTACTTACTGCTTTTATTTTTTATTTGCACTCGAATTTCACCATTTCTCAGTCCATCCAGCGGCCTCCATTTAAAACTGATACACTTGTCAGTAATTGAAACTGTAATGTTTAGGACTGGTGGAAATTCTGAAAACAAGAGAATGTGTTAAAATAAGGACAATATAGAAATGCAGTTAACAATCCAGGGTTTAATTACCTAAATGTCAGGATTGCTCACTGAATATAAAATAATAAGAAACTATAGAGAGAGCTAAATACATCGGAAACTAAATGGTAACCTGCACATATTCTGCATCACAGAAACTAATAAAAACCTCTACATGTAATCATGGGTTAACTCTAGCCATGCACTACACAATCAGAATGCACAATCTCTGTATCAAATCAGGCAATTTCACACAGTGTTTTTTTTTTACTTGATAAAATGTTTTATTGTTTTATACAAGAATACAAACATACAAATAAAAGGAAACCAAAATCAATCACAAACAGTTATACAGTGAAAACACTTCAATTATACTCAAACCCATCCCCCAATTAGACAAACAATTATTCTCAATTTATCCCAACTACTTGTAACTCAACCAACAAACAAGCTCATGTCCGTATATCATAAATACCATATTCTATTAAAACATTACTGATATATTTCCCACTCATTACCTTCCCCGGACTTACTCACAAGAGAAAAAAAAAGTCCAGATCTTCTGTTACCTCTTATCTTCTGACGTATATTCAATCCATCTTTTCCATTCAGTCAAAAAAACTGCATACCTACCATTTGTACGTGACATTAAATTCCTCCACTCTCATAATAAAATTAATTTCTCGGATCCACTCCATCACATCAGGTACATCTTCTGACCCCAAATAACTAGGGATCACTGCTCTGCCTGCTGCCATCAAATGGCATATTAAACCTTTCTTGTGTGATTTAATCGAGCCCGGGAAAATAGACATTAGTGCAACCTCTGGAATTTCAGGCCAGTCTACCTCCGTAAGTTGCTTACTCATTCTATAAATTGATTGCCAGTAGGGTTTAAAGCGACACAAAACTCAAACTTTTTATGACTTTTCCCTGTTCTCCTTATACCCCTTAACCGAATCTTGCTTTCATTTGTATTTTAAAATTTAAAATGTACCTTTTTTCTTAAAAAAAAAAAAAAAAGTATTAAATATATTCATTTGTCCTTTATTTGAAAAAAAACCCTCACATTCCTAGGAATTTAGAAATGTTTCTGTACCTCTCAGCCTAAAACTAAAACCTAACTTTTTAATCTTTTTTCTCTAAAAGCTAAAGCTAAAAGTGGTCACCTGGCATACAATGTCACTGTCACTAAGTATATCACACTTAGTGACAGCGATATACTTTAAACATCACTGTCATGAAGGGGTTAAACAAAAACAATTAACCCCTTGGGGTGAAAAACAAATCTGCAGCTCAGCTGCAGATTTTCATTGTAATAGGTTCATTTATTTATTAATGATAGTATCAAAATATATTTAAATATATCATTTTATTTGTTACATTTATTTTTTTTACATTTTTATTTTATTCATTTAATTATATCAAGCAGTCATTGTGAATTAATCTCACTATTATTGCTTGATAATTTAATTAATTAAGTTTTGGTTATTATTAGGCTGCTTCAAAAGAACAGCCAATAATAACCTTAGTGACACTTATCCTGCAGCATTTCAGGATCAGATGTCACTAAAGGTCTTCTGATCGTTCCAACAACGATAAGAAACCTGCAACATTGTTTCAGGAATAGAAAAATGTAGCTAAATGTTTCTATCGCTGAATGTGTAGAAAAAAAAGCCAGCATGCATCAGGATTTCCCATCTATAGAGCTGTAAATGCGGCTCTGCTCTCACTGTCAGACACCCGATTCCTGAAAGGGATTGGGTGTCTGAAAAAGCTTAACTCTTTCATTAATGGGTGCCTCAATACTGAATTATTATTATTACATAGTATTTATATAGCGCCAACAGTTTGCGCAGCGCTTTACAATATAAGGAAGACATTACAGTTACAATACAATTCAAGACAAGATGGTAAGGAGGGCCCTGCCCCTGAGGGCTTACAATGTAAAAGAGGAGGGGGAAATGATACATGAGGTAGCTGTGGGAATGAATTATGTGAGAATGTGAAGGTTCAGTGGTTAGGTTGAGGTGGGATAGGCTTCCCTGAAGAGATGAGTCTTTAGGGAACACCTAAAGGCAGTCAAGGTGGGAGATAGACGGACAGGTTGGGGCAAGGAGTTCCAGAGGATGGGAGAGACCCTAGAGAAGTCCTGGAGGTGAGTATGGGAGTGAAGGTTTTTGGGGTATTGGGGTGACTAGTGCATGTTTGAGTGGGGTAGGAAAGATTCCAGTAGAGAGGGAAAGATTGAAAATGTGGGTAAGAGAGTCTAGGATAGAGCAAGAGGGTGACCAAAGTAGTTTTGAGGAACAGGGTCCAGGGGGCAAGTGGTGAGGTGGGTGTCAGAGAGAAGCTTAGTAACCTCCTCTGTGGTGACAGGGTCAAAAGAGGAAAGTAACAAGTGTGATGGAGGATCAGGTACTATAATAAAAGGAGCTGAATACTGAATACTGATTCTCAGCGATTACCAGCATTACAGAGCCCCAAATAGCTGATCACGTACAGTGTACATGAGCAGTCATTTGGGCACTTTGTGGCGGGATGTACAGTGTACGTCTCCCGTCACGAAGGGGCTAATTTTTTAGTTTAGTGTCGCTTTAAGTTGTGGGCAAGACCACCATATATGTAACATAGTCCCTACTCCACTCTCACATCTCCAACATTTATCTGATACAGATGGATAGATTTTTTTAAAAATATATGGACATGTGTGCCATCTTGTTAAGATTGTATGACCTCTTTCCTGAATCTGGCTTGCTATGCTACTCTTAAAAGTCATTATAAAGGATTTCTCCCAATCGGTCTCCAAAATAGGATGGCCCAGCCCTCTCTCCCAGTCTCTGGTCTAATAGGGGATCTGCGGGGCTGACTGGGACAATAGGATATGATAATTTTTTGATATGTTCTGCCATCTGATTTAATAATACACATTTCTTCAAACAGTTGGAGTTTCCTATGAATTACTCCTTGAGATCTAATTTGAGAGTAAAATTGTTTAAGTTGTAGGTAGGAAAACCGCCTGCCCGTTCTATAAGGCAAATACTGTAGCAACTCCTTAAGTGGACGTAACCCCGCCGCATCTACCGCCTGAAAGATTGGGGATGGCTTCCCCCTTTGCCATTTGAAAAATCTATGGGTATTCACTCCTGGGTTAAACTCCGGGTTTCCCATAATAGTTGCCACGGGACCTACATAAGTAGATAAATCAAATTTATGAATGCATTGGTCCCATGTCCTCAACACTGTCTTTACTACCGGAGATAGTACCTTACAAGATGGTCTAAAAGGGGGGTTGGTCCACAGGAGCGATATCAGAGCTGTAGGAGTTAAATGTTGTTCAATTGACACCCATAGCTCCTCTTGCCTCGCCCCTGTACCAATCCACCATACAATTTAATATCGCAGCTTTATAATATAATTCCATCTGGGGCAAGCCTACATCACTTTTGCTCTTAAATAAAATATCATGTTGATGTCTAGCCCTCTTATTTAGTCAAAGATAGCTAAACAAAATTGCCTGCAGCACACAAAATAAAGAACGCGGAACATGAATGGGTAGTGTCAGATACAAAAGAAGAAAATGTGGCAGAACATACATTTTTATTAGAGCCACCCGACCTCGCCATTAATGTTCTTTTAGTGGCCCATAGTTCTAGTTTCTTCAGGACTAGTTTCAGAAGAGAAATATAGTTATTCTCAAACGTTTATCTAGATGGGATTATATTTTAACACCCAGATAACTTAATGTGGATGGTTCCCATTTAAATAGACCATTATCCTTCAAAAATGTACTTTCCTCCTTTTCCAAAGTGACATCCAGACATTGTGACTTTGTTACATTGACTTTAGAATTACTCCAGCTCCCAAACTTCTTTAATTCCTCTATAAGAGGAGAAAAAGGCCTTTCTTGGATTAGAAATATAAAGCTCTTCTGCAAAGAGGCCTAACTCATGTGATTGCTCACCAACCTCCACCCCTTTAATCTCTTGATTGGCTCTTAGGGCCATCGCTAAATGCTCCATAGCAATTATTTATAGGAGAGAGGACAGTGGGCACCCTTGACGTGTTCCGTTGGATATAATCACCCGTTTGGGTAATATCCCATTCACCCAGATCCTCGCTGTTGGTGCCAAATAAAGTGCCATAATCTTACCAAGCAGGGGTGCCGTCATTTCAATCTGCCAAAGAGCAGCCTTTAAAAATCCCCAGTCTTTGTGATCAAAAGCCTTTTCTGCAACTAAAGACACCAGTCAAAGGGGTAAGCTTGCAGTTCGTGCATGGTGTTTAAGCGAGATCATTTTATAATGTTGTCTCGTTCTTCCCGATGTGGAAAAGTACCTACTGGCTCTGAATACTGTATATCACGGATGCAATATATTGTTGTAAACGCGTCGATATAATTTTCACAACATTTAAAAAAATCTATATTAATCAACTATATCGGTCTATAGCTCGTGCAGAGAGCTGGATCTTTCTTGTTCTTAAGAATCAACAATATATCTGCTTCCTGTGCTTGTGGGAGGAATGGACATACATTTGAAATTTCCAGTAAGATTGGGTCCAGAATATCTTTAAACTGTTTTTTAAAAATCCCCATAAACTCATCTGACCCTGGACTTTTCCCTAGCGGTATGGCAGATTGTGCCCTTAATTTCCTCTATGGAGAATGGGGAGGCCAGTATTTCAACTACTTTTGGATCCAGCCTTCTTAACACTGTCTGTGTAATATATTCCTCAAGAAGATTCTGGTCACCTTCATTCTCATATGGGGTTTTACTATTTTTTTAATTATAAAGGTTAGAATAATATTTCTGGAAAGTTAATGCAATTTGTTCCAAAGTGTGTTCAATTTCTCCCACCAAACAATAAATTTTAGGAACATATGTCCTGGTCAACTTATCTTTTAGCGAACGGGCCAACTGTCTACCACTCTTATTCCCAAACTCTTATGTTGAAAGGCGTATACAGTCTTTATGTTTCT